ATGTATGTATGTATGTATGTATGTATGTATGTATGTATACTGCGTGACCATGTGTACCGTTGGCCACCATTTGCTATGATGTCACCCTATTACCGCGGTGAGACGATATGTGATAGAGATCGAGGCATTATCCTGCATTAATAGGACGTTCGCTTATATCCTTCTAAAGGTAGCGAAAAACATCCTGTACTTTTTTTGGTTCTGTACTCGTTAGGATTCCCGAGGAAATTGTCGACAAATGAGTGACATCGTCCCATATCTCGAGCGATTTTGCGGTTCGACAGTCCTGTTCCTCTTTTGCAGGAATTTGACCTTTCGCAAAATCGGGTTGCGACTTTTCTTTACTCGTTACCTGGACAATTTGACATTCTGACACAACTTAGGCAATGTGAGGTGAAATTGGAAAACGACGGGGAAATATGAGGTGGCTGTATCATTTTACAAAATAGGCGAGATGAAATTTTCCCGAAAAAAAATTAAGGGGAAATTGTCCGCGTTACTGAGATGGATCTCGTTGTTGGTTTACAATTTATGGTTCGAGTAGAGCCCGATTTCAATATTGAGCTTTTTTCTGTAGTGCACTGGAACGTGAATTTTGGTGAAATTCATTGGTAGATGTATCATTATGCAAAGCAATGTATTAGAAGAACAAACAGAAACAGTTTTCTAGCTTATATTGCAACATATCTTGTGAAAATAAGTGAAAATTTTAATTCACGCATTGAACATTTGACTTTGCACAATTTACCATTTCAGATAATTATTTTTTGATTATGACACCACTAAGATGGTGGCCACAATTTTAAACGCAATGTCCAAGTATTATACTGAAATTCTTAGTGACACGTCTTAGCATCGGTGGTAATCTTGCAAGAACTTCTTGTTTAATCCGAACGTTGAAGTGGTGTACCGTTGTACGAGTCTCAGAAACCTTTGACTTGAGATGTGCCCATAAAAATATTCGCAAGAGATCGGATTGAGCGATCGTGGGGACCATTAAATATCTCCATTCTTACTGATCAAGCGGACAGAGAAACCTCGCCGATTGCCAGTCCTGTGTTGCATGGTTACTAATTTCCAAATGTGTAGAATGGCGCTTGACTGCCCACCCCATGAAATTTAACATTTTCTGTTTGAATAGAATTTTCCGTTATTTTCTTAAGATTTGTTGCAATATAGGGCTAGAAAACTGTTTCTATATGTCTTTTTTGAATAGTTAGAATCATGCTGTTTGACTGCCTCATCCTTTATATAGTAGGATAGGACCTGCTTTCTGTTGTACGCAGCTAAGCTGGTGCCACCATAACATGCGCTACGTCACCTTCGGTGCTATCATTTCCCTTTGATCCCGCAGTTCTTAAGATTTGCCTTGCAGCGGATGGGTCTTCCACAACAAACGAGTAAAAGACCCACTTGACTAATATATGACGTATTTTTTGTATCTCTTTTGTGTGTGTCCCGTTCTAACTTGGCATGTAAAAGGAGCGTACCGACTTTGGAAATTTTGGGAGTGTTTCTGCAACGATTTAGAGCTACTAAGCATAGCTTTTTCACCCGCTACCATCCGAGTTGCTCAGTAATTTAATTGTAGCAATCACCATTGTGGCGATCTGTCTCAACACGTTCTCGTCGAACGTGCTTTTCGAAGTCGTGTTTAATGAAATGCTATGACTTGAGAGATAGCGATTCATTGGTACTTTTTTATACTGACTGACTGGTGAGTAGTTAGCCAGTCAGATATTTGGATAAACCTTCAAAGATGTGGGGACCTTTTGCTGTAGCCTTCTTTTGTCGCATTTGGAAATTGCGGATCAACTCTGACTTCCTACCAGTTTACGATAGCGGTTGATGGCTTCTTTCCTTCACTCAACTGTTGACTTTTTCCTTGCTGTGCTTATAGAGTCTCACCTTGAATGGTTGAACTTTTGTTTACGAAGGTGAGAGAATTTAATCAAGTTGCAAAGGTGAAAGAAGTTAATCATTTCAGAGGAGATATGAACTGGAATTTACTTGAAAATCATTGAATCAGCTGATGTCGCTGAATACAAGATATCAGATCGCACTTAGCACAACTTCTGCTCATGTTAAGGTTTCATGCTTTGCTGCGCACACGCAAGAGCTGCCCTAATTCAGGATAGGATCGTTTGAATGACTCAAGGCATCTCTCTTCGAATTCTGAAAATATCCTTTTCGAGTTACAGCGATCTTTCCTTTTACTTCTATGAAATGCTCGAGCTCATCGATTACGTGCTTCAATTTATACTTTTTTTCCAAAAGATGTTCCTCCAAGGGACACTAGACAATTTTTGCCTATATGCGAATGTATCGAAACAGGGTTCAGAGGAACGGGACATGGATGGATATCTTTCTACAGTTTTTGTCTATTCTCACGGAAGATTTGATCGGTGATTCTTGACATAGCACCATACAGGAGATCCTTGGGAGACTCCAGTAGTGCTAACTCTGCCTCGCCGCTTCATTTTTCTCCTCATTTGTTGTATTTCTTGCAGTCGCTATTTTCCTGCAGGTGAAAGACTGGGTATTCCTCCGATTCATCAGACCAACATCTTTCAAAGGCTTCACGTGTTAGTGAACTAGTTTCTTGATCAAAGTTGATCATTCTCCGGTAATCCCTGCATATTAATACGAGATCCGGGTGAGGGTTTTCCGGAAGAAGTTCTAGGCCTACAATATTGCTCTCATTTTGCGACTACTCCTTTTGATTAGGACCAGGGTTCCCCATCGAACGGCCTATCAACGCCTTACCCTAACATTTCAACCGCATAATTTTTGATTCGTCGGGTATCGAAACAATGGCTCACAGCATTCATTAATCTTTCTTAATATACAGATATGCACGTGTTTTGTGATACTCTGAAGATATGTTTTAAGACACTTCTAAAGCGAAGGCCCTACCATCGGCAATCAATTGGCCAGTCCACCAGTGACCATGGTGGCAGCAATGTTGGAGAGCATGGTAAGTGGCAGTTTGTAGAGTACAAACTTTAATTTACCTCTTATTTCTATTCTTCATTTGACCCGTAGCTTATCTGGTAAAAAGTGAGGTGGAATTTCAGAAACGGTTAAAGAGCGTCTGGAAAAAAATTGATTAACTTTTGAAAGTGTCATTCTGATGAAATTAGTCCTAAATAGCTTCAGGTTGCATCAAGAGATCTTTTCAACTGCTTGATTGCAGAACTCCTCAAACAAAAAACGAACATGACACCAAAAGATCTTTCAGCGAGCGTTAGCTTTCAAATTGGGTTTTTTGTTGTTGCGTGTCGGGCAAGTTACATGGACAGATAGTGATAGACGATTTTTTTGCATTTTGCGAAGCTCTGTGCAGAACGTAAGAGGAGGCATTAACGCTCTGTGACGATTCGGCACTGTTCAGAGTCCGACAGTCGTATCTCCAAAAGTCAGCTCAATCGTCATTGTATTATTCAATATATAGCATTCAGCATTTGCATAGCAGTTGTTGTTTCTACATGTGTTTCGCTTTTTTCGGCTACTTCAGAAGTAATTGAACCTCCATACGAGTCATACTCATCCTACACCCTCTTTCGATCGATTCTTATCGGATTAATCGTCATTAATCATATTTATATTATTGGGTCATAGACATTATCTCAGAAAAAGAGTGTCTGGGCCAAAGAATATTCTCAAGTCATAACGGTAGGCGTCTCAGAAGTTTCCGGACTTCTTGTGAAATGGCATTTTCTGCAGCTGGACCTCCTAATGCATCAAATTGTGAAACGATTAGATACAAGGGCTCAATGTTTTGAGGATTATGACACCATAAATTATGTTTGTCGATAGAGTTTGTAATGCTGTTTACGAATGTGGAAGCCGAATTACCGAAAGAGTTTCCGAGGCTAGTTTTGAACGGTCAAATTTTGCTCGAAAGAGATGTCATACGAAATACACAGGTAGCCATAGGGAATAAGCATACATGCATCGGCGTTTTGGTAGTGCTTTCGTTCTTCATTCGAGGAGCTGTCGCTGAAACTTCTGCGTGTTATAACTGTCGCCGAAGTCTGTAAACGGTAGAGCGAGGGCTACGAACTGGTGAAGAACCATGGCCAAAATTGTTCTTTACTATTCTTTGAAAGACATACTAGAAAGGAGCAACCCATGTAAAAATTGGACAAAGTGTGTATTTTTTTATATCAGAGAGGACATGAAAGGAAATGTCGCTGCCATAGCAGTGATTTTTCGAGGGTTCTGGATTCGCTGCCAACAGGACCAACGATGGAATCGTGATTAAGAGATTCAGGAATGGGAGGGGAAGGGGGTCCTTGTCCTGCCTAACGATCTAGCAATTTGCAGCACTTTCGTTAAAGGGAGCCAGAGAATGTAATCAAAAAGCCAAACAATCCTCACCATATACATACAACGCACTCATGCCTGTCTGTCCGTCTGTCTCTCTGACTGTCGATTTACTGGTTTATTTGTTTGTTTGTTTGTACGGAAATTCGATACCTGAAGAAGTACCTGCAAAAGTCGGGTCATTTGGGATGGGATGGTCATGGGCAATACTAAAAGAGCACATGTCAACCCAGGGAGCCCCGCCCACAGGGGGCGGGACATGCACGGGAAAGGACGGTGTCGCGGGCGAAGCTTCTTGATGAGGTTTCACAACAGCTCAGAGAGTGGGACGTTTTTTCTTTCACAATTTGTTTGGACCGTGTTCAGAAACCTTCTAGAATGCTCGAAAAATTTGGTTCAGGTAATAGAGGAGATGTGTTCGAATCTTATAAGTGGGTCATGATTCTAGTTCAAAAAGTCCAGACAGCGGGGAAAATGGGCAAAACTTTTGAATCGGCCAACAATCACGCAAAGGAGGCTCATCGGCGATGAGCAAGACGTTTCCGAACTTTTTGTATAGGCTCATAACCCATCACAGCCCATAGCCAGACTCTCGAGCAGAGGAGATCTGAGCAAAAAAGTCATCTCTATTCGAGAAGCTCTTCGATATGCGTTAGTGTGCGGAGCCCAACTGGTAATTGTTAATGTGCTTGCAGGAACATTGTTGGTGGAAACTAAAAGGGATAGCAAGCTGCTGTACGCGAAGAATTAGCTCCGTAACACAGTTCTGTCTTAGCAGGAATAGCCGTATGGTTTCGCAACAGAGCAAGGGTAATAGCAGAACGGGGAATTCGGCGATGAAAGGTGCGCCGAGTGATAAATGACAATTCAAATAAAAGTCGTTGGTCTCACATCTTTTGTAGTTCTAGAACCATGATTTCCACAATTCGTATAGCGGCGAGCAGACTATCGAGAGGTTCAGTTGTCAGAAGGCGGTTTGTCTTCCGACTTTCCAGAACCCAGCATCGGGCTACTTGAAACATCAGTGTGGTAGAGACCGTAATGAACAACGGCAGTCCTCCCTGAGAAAGAAAGCTGTAATCTAGCGCTGTACGAGCAGAATACTCCGATGAGCTCCTTAGCGAAGAATCCTGTCTTGAAACGATTTACAGTTGGAAGCCAGGGCTAGTCCACATCGCACTAAGGCAAGAGTTCAAGGCCCGGCGAGCAGTTGAAAGATAAAGGATGAGATAATGACAGCTCCGAATGGGATACCGGAGGGGTTGAAGGATAGAATGTTCTCGGACAACACCGGAAATGATGGAAGACACCATTTCTGAATGTTGTGACTGCTAAACGAAATACCCCTTTCGCTCCATCTCCCGATCCCGATCTCGAGGTTAAAGCTCAAAAGCAATAAATGCACGGTCTCAGTATACCTAGAATGAGCTGTAAGCCTGTTCATCTTTCTACTTACAAAAGATGTCATCACAGAAGGTTTGTAGATGAACAATTGAAGGTCTCTGATAATATCGTAGTGGTAGCAAAACAGTAAAAAGGGTTTCCAAGTCAAGCATGGAAAACGGCACAAGGTGCTTTCGAAGAATGGGTCTTTTGTGAAAT